TTCTGTTTTTAATTGTTACTAATTATTACGACTGGATTATTATTGTTTACCATATTGTTGAAAAACAAGTTTGAAATCAGATAATTAAAAATGTAAATCTGAACTATAGTAAGTTTCATATTACTGCATTGAGGAAATAATAATTAATTCAAAAAAAGTTTAAAACACAATAGTGTGACAATTTTCTCCATTTCCTGTGAAACCGAATGAGCTATGATTACTTTAATAATACACATAAGCTTAATTTTATAAATTGCTAAGTACTTAATTTACTTCTTATTAGATGTTTAGTAGTTTTTAAGTAATAGTGAAACACCTGTGCAGCGAGATTTCAGTTCCATAATTAACCTATCATGATAAAAATTTGAAATTGGGTAATTATTAATTGTTATGTATCTTGTGTTTTCAGTTTTCTGGTAGAACTACATATCTGAAGCAAAACAGTGTCGATGGCTGGGTGGTAATTTTTTACAAGGGTCAGCATTTGTGTATATTTTATTTTTTAAACTTAAATAAAAATTGAAACAAGAATATATAAAAGAAAAAATTTTGCAGATTCAGACCAAAACCAAGATTTATAATGCTATGGAAAATGGATTGTCTACGTTTAAGCGAATGTGTGGACTCATAAGACGAGAAGAAAAACCTTGCAAAAGTTTGTCTAGTCATAGATCGGAGGAGGTAAGTTGTCTCCCAAATGTACAAATTTCTAAAAACCATAGGTAAGTGGTCCCCCGACCGCAGGTAAATTGTCTCCCGCACTCAAACCTACATTAGGGGTGGTTAGTTGTTAAAAACACAGCGCATCCCAATATTAACACTTTTATAGATTTTATAGATATAGATTTTGAATAATTTTCAAGTAAACTCATATATTAGACAAAGAAGTGTAAATCAAAGTAAAGTCATTTATGAAATGAAATATCTAGAAAGAATTACCTTCTTAGAAGAAAAATTTGAAAAAGAGATGACATAACAATGTTGGAGTTTAAAAAATTGTTTCATATAAGTATAAAGCTAGAAAAATTTGAGATTATAATGTTTATTTTTTAAAATATGATTCAAATTGATGTAAATAAAACAAAATTTTTGACTTTTACATATGTACCTGTGTATCAAGTGATATTTTTCTAAATAAATGTACATATGTTTTTTTGTTGACTTTGATTGTAGATTAATCAATATGCTATGTACTTGCAAATTAATTGTAAATGTTATAAAAAAAATTATTTTTGACTCTTGCATACATATTATGTACCTGTGCATCAATGTGCAGTGTGGATGTTAACGTACTAATTGTTTTCAATAAAAACAGTTTTTTTTTTGGTGAAGTACATTCTTGTATATTATTGCACAGTCTCGATGGTACGCCCATTAGCCTTAATCCGTGTACCTGCGTAACCGGGAGAGAATTTACCTATACCCTTTTTGTCAGCACTGGGAGACAACTTACCTACAGCCCCATAGATAATGATTAACTTTCCAAAATTCGAAAAGTTCGAGGAGAATCCAAGATTCGGGTTTTCCATTTTCGAGGACATGGTAATGTATCGATAATAGCGTTTTCCCTATCAGCCAAAAATATACTCAGAGAGCAATAAAAATACGATCAAAGACAGCCATGGATTCTTGAAAGTTTGTCTTTGATCGTTGCATTTTCAGCTCAAAATGTTCTGACAAGACGAAAATTCTATCAAAGATAGTTTTCAGAAATCCATAGCTGTCTTTGATCATGTTTTTATTGCTCTTTCTCTCTCGCTCTCTCTCTTTCTCTGGATACGACTTAAGGGCAGAAATAGTTTTTTTATTGAGAGAATACTGTCGTCTTTTTATGTATGTTTGAATACATAAACAAAAAAGTTTCCATATTTGTAGTAAGAAATTTAGGTAATAAGTGCAGAAAAGGTCCATTTTTAAATAGTTTAAAAAAGGTCCTTAATATTGCTTACTTTAAAAAAAAAAAAAAATTTATGGTTGATAAACTATAAATGGAAACAATGAATGCTTTGTGTAGATTCAACATAACAATGTAGTCCTCCAGGCCTTTCATGATATCTAGTAGGGCATGGATTTTTAAAATCAGTTGGTACTTCGTGTGCAACACTGCGCACCCAAAATTCTAATAATAGGTAAATATGACAATAGTAGCAATGCGCGACTTTGACATCAAACGTCAAATTTCAAATTGAACTTGACAATATGTCAGTAGGTAGTACCAGCTTAGATAGTCTCCTAGATAGTTGATTTCAAACAAAAAATGACCACAAAGGATAACGGATGTTCAATTAAAAAAGTCACCAAGTTTTGTTAATTCATACTGCTTCATTAAATTTTAGTTTTGTTGTAGACATATTTCTAAACTTTTAGAAAAAATCAAAGCCAACTTGAAGACTTTTTCAATTGAACACCGAATATGTCAAAACGATATAAAACCACTTTTAAGACAATCACATCGTCTAAATGGGCATTCATCAAGAGAAAATTCTCAACTCCAGTCCTAGGACCTCCTTCGACTGGCACCTGGAGGGCCTTAATCCCTAGTCTTTCCTTTTTTCCTTGTGCCAAGAATTAATTCGCGTCAGTCGTTTACATTTTATTTTTATTGTATATAGTACTAGTAGAACCAATATTTTGCGAAAGTCACCTGTTTCTAATGTGTAATTTATTTAATATAATTTCTTCTTGTTGTGATAGTCATTTTCATTGTGTATATTAGTTTTAGTTCCAATTTTTATATATTTTTATTTTTATTTTTAACCAACCACTTTAACATTTAATTGTTTGATTTTTATATTTCCTGTAATTGGGTTTTCCTGTTGGAAATAAACGAATTATTATTATTATTATTATTATTATTATTAACTCCTGTCCTCCTGTCCAAACTGATAAGAGCACCGGCTGTGCCTTTTTAAATTCCAATTTTAAAATACAGATAAATAGATACAAATGTGAAACTAAATATGGCGGAAAGTAGACGTGCAGTAAGTAAGGACATAAGACGACGACAGAACTTCATATTGCAAAAAATTTTGCAGTATAATGAAAACTGGACACGATTTTATAAAATGTGTATTATAGTCATAACGCAATAATAATTTTTTTAACTCCATGAATGTTAATATTGTTCAAATAAACAATTATTATAGTTTTGGAAATTTCATTCTACTCTATAAAATTTTATTGGCAATAACAAGACGGACAGTAGTAGAATAGCAAGAAATATTTACAACTTAAAGTTGTCGCGTGCTGGTAATCCCCAAATGTTGGAAAGCAGAATAATTCAGGTCCGCACAAGGACCATCGTTATTCACAAATGAAAATGACCATTATTTTATGAGTACAACCACCTGCTAAATGTTCTCCGAGAAATTCCGGTGAACTGGTGTGAGCCATAAATATTTCTTGCAATTGTACTACTGTCCATCTCGTTATTGTCAAGAAAATTTTATAGGGTAGAATGAAATTTCCAAAACTATAATATAATTTTTACTTGGCTTCCCAATCTAAAATGAATTGAATGTGTTCTCGTACTGAATAAGCGTAATTAGAGTAAGATAGATATTTGTTCAATCGGGGTTAATACGCTGGTACCTGGAGTGCCTTAATCCCTCGCTTTAACTCCGGTCCAAACTGATAAGAGCACCGATTGTAAATTTTACATATATTTTAAATGTATCTTTTTAAAATCCATGCAAATAGAAACACACGTGAAACTCAATAAGTCGGAAAGTAGACGTGTAATAAGTACAGTACTTAGACAACGACAAAATTTTACAATATTATGAAAACCGCATTTCTAGACATGCTTTTGAAAAATGTGTTTTATGTAATTACATATAACACTACTATGTTCTAATTTATAACAAATTTTGTAATTTTGTGAATACTAATATTGTTTAAATATTAGAATAATTTTGAAAGTAGAGACTAGAGCGAAGATGATCGGGCACCGGATTAAGGTGTTGGATTAGTGAACGCGCGACCTGGATCGGAGTTGAGGTTTTTCGGTTTAAATGTCTATTTTGTCGTTTTCTACTATATTTGCACTGTTCGTTGTTCTATCCACTGCCTGAAAACCGCCGTGAGTGATAAAAAATAATAATAACATTTTTCAGTATGTTAATATTCTAGCTACATTTTATGACACTAAATTCAAGGCCATCTTCAAGTTAATATAGTAATAATAATATATTTTTTAAGTGATTAAAATTTAATTTTAGTACACACTGTTTTAGTTTTATGGTGAAGACTCAACATTTTTTTTCTATATATTTTTATGTAAAAAGAAAATTAATATATCTACTTAAATGTGAATTCATAAAATTTTTCTTCATAGGGTTGACCGAGACGAATTCTAGATTTTATACAAAATTGAAAATTTATTCATAAGTTCCTATCGTGTGACTGTGGCAACTACTTAATGAAATAAATTCTTTAATTTAAAAACTAAAAACACTACAAGAACGCCTGGAAAATATGTTATGGGTTGCCCTTTTAAATGTAATGATATATTTTATAAAATGATAAAACCGTATGACATCAAAAAAAGACTATTAAGTAAGACTTTTACAAAGCAGGATTTTTTGATTTTTGACATTTAAACCAAAAATTTATAAAGCAGAGAAATTTTGAATAAAAAACATCGAAAATAAATATAAGATAATCGCACAATAACGTTTTAGGAAGTACTAAAATCTTATCGCCTTTTTTATTAAAAACAAGCCATCAATTGTTAAGGACCTCTGATCGATCGGAATTTTACATCGTTATTTCTGCTTTTTGTACATAAAAACTATTAGTATCAAGTTAAAAACTAGATAATGTTGTAAATTTGCAGTTCTCAAATCTGGTGTTAGTAAATCGAAGCAGGCTTTAAATTTTGCCGCTTTGTTGAAATAGTAGTTATAATAAAATCATTAAAATGACATTACATGCCATTTAAGATGAATGGTAAGACTTTTGTAGTAAATTTTTCACTTTCATTAAAAAAAAAAGTTGCTTTCTATTAAAACCTTGCGTCTGTGAACAATAAAATGCTTCCCTTTTTCAACACTTCAGTGACCTAATTTTAATCTTAGTAACCTTGCAAACACATCTTTCCAAAAACAATCACAACCATAATTATTTCGTTCAATGAAAATATTCGTTTCGATAGTGCCTGTGGCAAACATCTCAAACGAAACAGTAAACTTCCCCTGGCGACGTGAACTACTCCCTCAACTGACTTTCCTCACTCTGTCAGAATATACTCGGACTAGTCTCTGCATTAACTACCTCCTGGTGATGCAAGTTGTTGGCGTTGGCATCACTAGACCTCACCTGCATCATAATGTTATGATTGAGCATTTTAGCACTGTGCTCCTGAGCTTTAGCTCTCAGACACGCTATAGAGTTATTCCTGAAGGCTTCGGGGTCCTCTGGGTAGGGTGGTTGCGTCGGAGGCATCCCAACGTGCTGTTGCTGATCTTTATCGCCACCGGAAGCGCTGACGTTGTTATGACCGGGAGGTTGCTGCTGCTGTTGTTGAGTTTGTTGGCTGGAGGTGGCGCTGGTGTCGCTCGCTTCCGTCCGCATGGAAGTCGTTTCTTCGTGGTCGCTGTTGTTGTCTTGCTCTTTTAGGTGTTCTGCGGCCTCCAAGGATTTTCGATGCATTCCTGGAACGGGAGGTTTGGGGTTTAGTAGAGTGGTCGGGAATTTTTAGCGCTGCTTTTGAGATTAGTGTCGTTTTCGATTTGGAGATAATTAATGATGCTCGGTTTCATGCACTGATTATCCTTTTCACCGTTAACTAAACTTCAGATTAGTCTATTTACTCGCTCTTAAAGAGATCGGTTTACTATTTTTTGACGACGTCATCCATCAATTTTTTTGTGGAAAAGAATAAAAAATCAAACTCAAAGTCGCTGAAATAAAGTTTAATGCTCAACTTATTTTTAAGGATAATTCGTTTCATTTAAGTTAAAAATAGAGATGAACTGTTTAACCGCGTCTAAAACAGTGTTGTGTTGAGCATTTCACAATAATATTTTAAGATGACATCATTAGTTTTTTGTAAGGGATAAATAAATAAAGTTTAGTTAGCGTTTTCATAATTCGCTTGAAATAGATCTGAAATTTTAAAGTAAATGATGTGGTAGTTTCGAATAATATTTGGTTAATAAAATCAAAATAAACGGCGACCATATCGACAGCAGATCAACGAAAACGAGGACTAACATTTTTGTATTCTATTTCTTCTGGTTGTAAAAAGTTAAAAAAACATGACGTTCAAAATGGCTTTGTTACAACATTTTGAATCTCGTCTGAAAACAGATATTACAACAAAGCTCCGCGAAGAAAGAATAATGTATTTCAAACTCAAAAATACCTAAGTACTTCAAGGAAAAATCCACCTGATAACACTAGTTTTTGCAAATTATGAAAAAATAACCAAATGATTAATCGTTTTTAAGATAGAGGATTCTAATTTTTCAGAAAGCTTTTACAAAATTTTCATCTAAAAGAAGATAGAAATTTGAACACATTATCTTGATATTTCCAAATAAAGTTTTGCTAACAACTTGACATTTAGAATTATACAAAATATTGTAAATTAGACGTATTATTGAAGAAATAATTACAATTTATAGCATGAAAAATAATTTAACGGATGATTATTTTTGTTCAACTCTAAAAACTAAAACTAGATGTGATGTTATTTGCATTTAGCGAAACAGTTTTCATTTAAAAACACGTAACAACCTTCTAAAGAGATGTAAAAATATCCAAGTCTACAATTAATGATAATTTTAGGATTACATATTTCAAGTCATAAAAAAAATTAATTGGGAAATTGGGCAGCAAACTTTGCATCCAAATTTTAAATTACAAGCTTCCAGACTGGAGATATGGTAAATATATTCTACACAATATTTGCGTGTTTGAACACAGTTTAATTTGTTCTTTGTTCTTTTTAATTAAAAATGGGACTCTGTGAAAAGCAGAGGTTTTATTTGGTTGTTAATAATAGACTGGGTTGGTGCAAGTACAATTAATTTAATTTGTGATTAATTTAATGAAAGATGGAGCTATTTTTATTACTGTATCGATTAGAAAGGTCTTTGTAACACCCAAAATATAGATTATGTAAATTATTTTATTTTACATTTTTGAATTAACTGATTAATTTTAACTCCGTGAACTTACCTTGCTATTATAAACAGAGTTACTTTAATTTGCATGAGATAAGTAAGTTAAGAAAGATATAATCACGTTGGTTTGTTTTTATATATAGTTTTAATTTTACTTGTGTTCGTGTTTTTAGTACCTCTGTTTAAGGGTCATTCTAAAAATGATTCTAATTACTTAAATATGAGTAGAAAAATACATAAATTTAAGAAATAAATACCTGATTCTATAATGTCTCTCTTTCTTCTTAATTCTGCAAAAGAAAGAGTACATTATAGTTATGTTTATTAAAATATTGAAATCATGCCTACTTACAAAGCAAAAAAGTAAGATTCATGATTATTATTAAAATGTTGTGTTTTAGATCGATGTTTCCACCGTTTTGCTGTAGTCAAGCCTTTAGTATACCTGTAGAACAAGCTATAACGTACGGAAATAAGAGGAGCGTACAGAAAAAAATCCAAGTCCTACAAATCCAAGTTCAAGTTTTTTTAAAGCTGAAATTTTGAAATTGAAGTTGCAATTTTGCAATACGCAAGTATTTACGAGTACACTTGTTTCCATCATTTTTAAAAACACAATTTAATTCTGCTCTAAGATATTATTTTGTAATATGTTGTAAATATAATGCTGCTACCAAAACCGATGTTCCAAATTTAAAGAGTAAAATTTCTAAAAACACAGAAGAGGAAGCCTCATTTTAGATTATTTATAATTAGCTCCTTTAATGTTTTCAAAAAGCTAGGATTTAAATAATCTGAAGTTGTTTACTTCCCTAGTTCTCAAATAGTCTTTTATTAATACCTTTTGTTTTTAACTGAAAATTGATTTTTTTTATATTAGTTTAAAATCATCGCCACTTGCATAAAGCTGCAGTCTCCGGGGTTGAAATTCAACAAATCCACGTATGTTAAATATATAATAATATCACAGTGGTGAAGAAATCAACTATTTGGTATTTATGTTCTACACGCATAAATCTTCAACGCTATTAAACTAATGACGAACATTTTTATTCCATGAATGTATGTTATGAAATACGTAATAAAACAATGATTTATGCAACAAATATTCATAAATTAAAATTCAATACAACGAACACAGTTACCCATAAATTAACTAAAATTAACGTTGAATGTCTTTAATTTAAAACAAAACAATTTTTAAAGCATTTTAGTGTTAATATTTCCATTTGTTGGTATTTATAGTACTTCTGTAAAGTGCAGTGATCTTTCAAAAGATTCGTTTAGAAAATTAATTGAAACGCGTGGTGTCTTGGTACTTGTATATTTTTAGTATTTATTTTAGAGAGCGTTTCTACTAAAATGATAAGATTAGCAACCATCATAAAAGTTTAAATTTATCTAATTATATGTGATTTTTAGGTTTAATAATAGTGTAACGTTGTAAAGTTTCTTTAATTACATCTGTCATGTAATCAAAATAATAAAAATAAGAACACATTACATAGGCATTAGGATTTATAAATTTGGTTACACACTGTAGTTAATATATTTTTTGGTTTGGGGAGACATTGGTCTTTCTTTCAGTTCTTTTTTTTTTTTGAAAATGTGCTAGTTCATATTTTTAGAAAAAATAAATTCTAAAAGAATCAACCAAAGTAGTATCACTGATTTTTTTCACAAATGAAGCCCATAATTATCGTTGCACTTGCAACATTTACGAAAATTTTCAGTAATCTAAGTCGTTTTTTAGAAGTCTATTAGACTATAAAGTAATTTAATAAAATCCGTATGTTTTAAGAAGGATATATGTACTAGTGAGTCAATATTCGTATAACTGATATTATTTAACGTACAGTAAAAGTGAACTGTGTGTATATCTTACATCCTACCTAATGTAAGCTAACCGCATTTTCTTGAGAAATCGTAGACAAACAGACGTTTTAAGAATTTTTTTATTCCGTAAGGGATATCGCAGGGCTTCGTATTCAACCGTTTATTGTTTTTGATTTATGGTAATGATTTTCCCGAACTACATGCGAAATCGTTTAGTCCTGTTTGTTGATAACACAATCGTCAAAGCAACGGAGTGGCAGAGTAATGGATTCTTAGTTTTGTGTATAATAACTCACAATTATTGTTTTTGGGTGATCATGGTAAAGCAGTTGGAAAACGCATTACCCTTGTAATCTCTTTACTCAAGTTCGTTCTCTGGGTCACACCTAGTTCGACTTTATTCATCTACAAACAAAAAATTTAGTTCAACTTTAACTGTATGTATATTAATAAGTTTCGTATTGTGATAATCTGAAGAAATATTAAAAATGAGACTGTTAAATTAGGTTTAGTAGGAAAGCCTTCTTAGTATTATTGAAATTGTAAATAGTAATAAATAGAAATTAATCATTAATGAATCACATTTTTTGTTGTTGCGTGTTGATTTTCTAATTCAAATTTATTCTCCCGTCACGATTAAAAAGTGGTTTATAAAACCGTTAATTCCGGCTTTATGTACGAATAATGTGCAGATCTTCGCTATCTTCTATTTATTTTAATGCAGTTTTGCAGCTGTGTTAGTCCGGCTTGTACATTAAATAATTTATTTTTAAACGATCCACCGATCATACGCTGCATTTTCTTAATGTTTGTGACTGGTACCTATTCTAAGTGCTTATTTCGTAAATTACTCATTTGTTTACCAACAGCACTAAACCAAAAATAAACATCCTCCGCTTTAAAATATAAAACTGTGATTACGCCTAACAAAGGATTTAGTATTTAGTTCAGAAGAAACCATCACAATACTTGAATGCCAATTGTGGGTCGTGAGTATCTACTGCAACCGCCAGCAAGAGAAAATACATCATTGCCACTTCGCAAAAGTTAATAATCGCAGGTTAAACGTCTTTATTAACGTTAGAAAGCGTATAACTGAAGCTTTGTGACGCTGTTCCAAGGCTAGATAACTGGGACATCGCTGGTAGAGGACGAGGAGTACACAGAACGTGGCAATTAAAATTAGCAATGCAAGCGCTTAGTAACGACATCATGCGGCCACGCTGTAAACTTCAGCATTTACTAGCGGAATTTTATAGGTGCAGGACTTGTTTCATCGTTTTACATTTCATTTACGATTTTACTGTTATGTTTACGCTTTGCCTAGATCTCATTGTAAGTATCAGTGTCATGTCATGAGGTCCTGATTTCATAATACTGTTGCGCTGGATTCTTAACATTTTATGTATCAAATGAATCTGATTACAGGATTACATAATGTTTATTTCAATTTTACATTTGCTTTTGTGTGCTGTACTGCGTTCCTAAACTTAAAAAAAATTAAGTCGGTTTATACCGAGAATAAAAATATATTATCGTGAAAGGACGAACACTGAATTTTAAGCCAGATTATGTAAAATTTGTATAAATTTTATAGTGGTTAATCTGGCTTGAGATCTTGATCTTGTTTTACCAACGACACCTACGCGATAATTAACCCCCTATCGTTTCGGACATATTCTGCTTAG